TCTTGAACACAAAGAAGAACGAGAGGACACAACAAAAATTGAAGGTAAAAAGAGGTGATAAAGATGTCAAAAAATATAGTTTCCCAAACAGAATTATTGAATCGTGGAACAGTCTCCCCAATCAAGTAGTGTGCGCCAAAACTGTACATCAATTTAAAAAGTTATATGATAATTTAAATATAGCAGACGGGACCACCTGAGCATAGCTCTCCTCCCGTATCCAAACAACTAGGTAAGAACGTGTATGCACAGTCACGTGAATACACACACACATGCATGCATATGTATGCACATACATGCACACACACGTATGCACACACACACATGCACACACACTCATGCTTACACACACATGCACACCTACACGCACACACACACCTACACGCACACGCACACCTACACACAACACACACACACCTATATGCGGCACACACCTACCCGCACACACACCTACCCGCGCACCACACCCTACCGCGCACCACACACGCTACCCGCTGGCACACTACCCCGCACACACCTACCACACACCTACACACCCACACACCTACACGCGCACACACCTACCCGCGCACACACCTATACATGCACAACCTACACGCACACACCTACACGCGCACACACCTACACACACACACACACCTACACACACACACACACCTACACACACACACACCACACACACATAATTACACATAATTATACTACCTGTAATGGAAATCCTGTAGTCTCAAGGCTGACCTGATATTGGCACAGTGTCAAGTGATTGCCGCTGTTCCTGTTCCTTCAGGACTTTAGCAGAGGGCACCAAACCTCCACTGTAAAATAATATGGGTTCTTATTGCCAGGAAATCTACAAGCCAATTTTTTTTTTGCTGGAATACAGTATATGTAGTGAAATATTTTTGGACTTCTCATGCAGTCATATTATACAGATTTTAAATCTATATAGGGCATACATACCCCACAGACAGACAGACCATTTTGCATACAGATCATAGATTGACAAATAATATTACATACATATCATAGATTGACCAATGATATTGCATACATATCATAAACAAAGTGATAAGGAGTAACACAGTCAACTTAAAAACTGATTGAAGAGAAGTAACAGAGTTAATGGTAATGCAGATAACAGTTTTATACAGTTATCTAACATTCATTTATGTTCATTCTTCATTTAGGGTTATTGACTGGTTTTCAGTCTGTTTGTGAGGAGTACATGATAAGGCCTTTGATATGAGTTTGACATTTTATGTACCTTTAGATATGCAAATATTACTGCCAACAGATATGAATCTCTGCATATTTATACCTAAAAAGGCTCAAAGACATGATTGAGCACAAAGGCACATAGTCACATTATTTATTTATTCCCATATTATGTTTTAGTCCATTGCATTGTCTGCTAAGATGTTTGATTTTTTTTTTTTTCCAATTTACTTTTACTTTTCAGAAAATGGATAAATTCCGGCATATATGGAGGGGGCAGCTGTTGGTTGGTATGAGAGATATTGGCCAAGCGACAATATGGACTACCAACAACAGCTACTTGCCCCCCATGTGAGTAATATTTTTTGCATTAGCTTGGTAATGATAGATGCAAATAATGTTTTACAACTTGTTTTAGTTCATGAGTAATGATTTTGTGGGATTTTAGATCAAATAATCTATAGTCTAGGAAAGATTTTTGAGATTTTCAATTGATTATTTAGAATTAGCAATAAATGAATTATTAGGCTAAATTTGGACTCTTGGTGCTTATTAACCCAATGTCGATGGGAAAATGTTGTATTCACTTTAGTATTGTTTTGCTAAATGTTTCTGTACATAGATGGCTGCCAGTGCTTAGTCACAGAGGAGTCAATTACTAGATCTTGTGACTTCACCTTTCCTTGAAATAGTGGGAAAACTCTTTTTACTAATGCTATCAATATCAACACTGTTATTTTTATTATAAGCATTATAATTACTGTATTGCTATTATTACTAACAGCAGTATTAAATACTAGGAAATATTATCGAAAATCAAGGAAAAGGGTAAACAGGTGAGACAGGTAGTTCTCGTAATTGGCTTATTGGTGACTTAGTACTTGTGGAGCCATCTATATATGAAAACAATTACTAAATTATACACACAGTAGGTATGGCATATATGCACAGCATCAAGTGGTTAAGCACCCTCAGCTAAAGTCCACTTGGTGTTTCTGGGTTTCAGCTCTTTTCTTGCTGTGCATACCAAGGTGAAGACAATGTTTCCCAGCAGGTGTTGGTGGGCAGAGCCCACCATCAACCCTCCCCTTGGGCAGTGCCCAAAGGACACACCCAGTTACAGCAATTTAGATTGATGAATAAATTTTGTGACACAAAGTTGGGGACATAGGGCATTTTCTGTATGTGTCATAAAAGTAAAATCCAAATTAAAGTTTAATCCAAATCTACAGTGCTTGCACAGAAGATGTAAGACACACTGCCAGATGCATGAGTCAATCCAATTATCAGTAAATCTGCTCTTTTATATAGAAGAGCGGGTATTTGTGTAATGGCTACCAGCAGTCACCCACTTTGAGTTTCATATCAAACACTTATATTGATAACGAGTTGTTTGCTGCATAGGAAAAAATGTATACACATATACGGTAGTATTATATCATGAAGATATGTATTTGTGCCGCTACAAATAAGTATATATATATAAATGGCTTCAGATACCCTTTGAATTTTATGGGTAACCAATTTAAAGGTATCAAATAGAAGATATTCGCAATATGAGTTTATAATGGCGAGAGTTTTCTCCGAGAGCTCTTTCCCGTGAGTGGCAGAGCCCCCCATGAGCCTTCCCATTGGGCAGTTGGGCACACCCAGTCATGGCTACATAGATTGTTGAATGAATTTTGTGATTTGGAGTTAGGTGAGTGTGTCTGTACTGTAGAGAATGACTGATGATGTTGCAGAAGGACATTTGGGATGAGAAATGACCTGCAGACATGAACCATTAATGCCACAAGTAAAGAAAAGAGATCACAGATAGTGCTGCTTACAGCATAAGTCCATTTGGTCCTCCCAAGTTTCAGCTCTGTCTTTCTGGGTATATGAGTTGAAGACAATGTTTCCCAGGGAGAGCTGGGGCAGAGCTGCCCCATCATCCTCCCTTCAGTCAGTGTCCAAAGGGCATGCTCAATTACAGCAACTTAGATTGTTGTATAAATTTTGTGATGTGGAGTTGCGGACATATGTCTCTGGGGAGTGCATCCATACTATAAAGAATTTTCCACATTTCTTGATATTTTTAAGATTGTCAAAAACAAGTAAGGTAAGCACTCTTGTCGTAAATCCTTTTTTTTCACATCACATATACAAAATTACTCACAGAAGTGTAAATCAAAACATCAAAACCTTGGACATTAAGATATAAATGAATTCAAGAGAGAAAAACCTGAGGTTAATTCTCTGGTTAGCACACTGTTAAGTTAAAATGTCTATTAAATTTTTTTGTGAACAAAAAGCATTGTCAAAGGATGTAACTCACATTTTTTTTATATCATAGACTTTTTATATGCTTAGTAAGAAATGCCATGTGAAAAAAAATAGATAAGGAAAGTTGAAGTTCAAGAATTAAGTTGAGAAATAGGCCTTGGTATTTATGACGCATTTTCAGGGTCTGTAATGTTTTCCTGTAATAGTTTTAAAATTTTCTTGAAGTTTTTTTTATATCATCATGTTTCTTATCATCTTTCTCAGCGGTTGGAACCTGAAAATGACCTATATAACTGAATATTCTGACCTCTGGAGTAAAGTGTTGGAGTCCGAGCCCACAGTCTTGAGCCAGGATTCATATACAAAGATCAAGGACAAGTATGTATCGATCTTCACCATCACTTCATCCACGCCAGAGTTTCTTCAGTTGACGAAAGAGTTGAATCAGTTCAACAAGGTATATAATTCATAACTAGATGTGTTTGTAAAATTTTTTGTGGTATTTATTTCTTAGAACTAACATTTGATTTTATGTCTTTTTGTTTCTTAGTTTGTAAAAAATCTAGAATGATTTTAGAGATTAATGAGGTTAATCATTTTAAAGTTAATCATGATTATTAATAGAAACTGGATAGAGAATTGCAAAGTAACATTTACCTTTTTCTTTACCAAGACAAAAAAATATAATTACTCTGAAAATGTGATAGTGCACTCTTTTTTTTTTTTTTTTTTTTGGCCCTTTTATGTATATATGGTATTCTCCGTATAAACTTCAGTAACTCAAGATGAATTTTATTCTCCTGAACTGAAGGCCCGAATCATACTGGCTGTGATACCAAAGGACACGGAAATTACATTAATTCCCCGCTGTAAGGAGACTATGAGGCTAGGGATGTGGGAACCTCCTGAGGAATACCATCCCTTCCTCTACATGTTGATGATTTCCAAGATTTCTCCAAAGAAGGCCATGAAGCAGCATAAGAAACATTATCTGCAGGTTATGTCTCAGGTAAATAGCTAGTGAAGGAAAATGTATTTCCGTAGTTTTCCTTCTGTTTTTCATGCAACTTGATAAAATATTTGAGTGCTATATAGTAATACAACATTGTACATAAAACACTGAATCAAATGCAAATGATAAACAAGTGTTATTTGAAGTGTTTCAGCAAAGTTTAGTCTAGATGTTTTTCAGTTGTTTATCAAAATTTCATGTCAGAAATTTTCTTTCACTTTTTATTTGAAACAAAGACTAAGAACTATTGAGCAAGTCTTTACAAGAACAACCTGACACACATATAAATGAATTTTAGCATTCCTAAGTACATTTCACTGTATCAGAGAATTAACCCACTAACGACAGGTGTCCCACATATGAGACACCCGAAAAAATAAACGTTGCCGGGCATCCTGCCAGTGTGACACTGTATTGGGGCTCGCGCTCCAACGCAGCAGCAGGCCGCGGCCGGTGGGTGGACAGAGTCCGGGGCAGCTCCACCCGCCGATTTTGTAGCTGCCCAGAATCTTTTATTTTCAACTTCAAAACATACCGGCGTTAATGGGTTGAGATATTATAATAGGATAATAAGTAAAGGTATAATAAAGTACTTGTAAGAATATGTAACAAAGATGTCTCTACATTTTGTTCTATTTTCTTTTCTTTTTCTTTTCCATTTTCTCTTTGCTTTTAATTATTTTGTGTTCTTGCTTCATTCACCTGTTCATTCATACTCTTGTTCTCCCTCCCTTTCCACACATATCACTGTCATTTTGTAAAATGATAGTAGTTTTTTGGCATAATCATTGGAGTACATTTTATCCTCACTGAACTTTATTTAATTTTCAGATGAATCTGTCTTCATCAACACCTTCTTTGATCAAGGAGAAGAAAACAGACAAGGAACAACCAAAGAAGGACAGTAGAGGACACCATGATGACAAAAACAACATAAAATCAAGGAAGACGGACCACTCAAGAGACACCAATGACCTGGTGGACACTGCTCATGAAACCGAGACAGATGAGAAGGTGGACAGAGAAAGGAGGAAGAAAGAAATGCATGACCCATATTCAAGTGGTGGCAGAGGTAAGTGGAATCATGAACACGGACCAAAAGAGAGCAGGAAACGAGATAAAGAGCGAGACAAGGACAGGACAAAAGATAAAAGAGAAGACAGACATATAAAAACTGCTCATTATGACAAACATAGGAAAGAGAGGAAGAATGAGAAGGAAAATGATGAAGATCAAAAAAGCAAACCGAGAAGAGAAGAAGAAAATGAGCAAGGAAGTAAAGCATCACAACAGAAAATAGAGAAAGGGGAAAAATATAACCAGCAAGAGAAAGATGAAAAGAGTAGGGCGAGTCCAGAAAAAAAGTCAGACAGCTCACAAAAAGTCCACCAAGAGGTCAACATCAAACAAAAAGCAAGTAAAAGTGACGTGATGGAAAAAATTAGGAAAAATGAGGAAGAGAAAGTCAAAACAGTTGAATCCTTACTTAAGTCTGCCATTAAGACTGAATTATGGCCAAAAGATCTCAATCCAATCAACATTGAAATCAAGGAAGAAGTGGACAACTCTGGGAAATCCCAAGGAAAATTTCCACAGAAGTCAGAAAAGGCTTTTGACAAGAAGAGCTTACTAGACACAAAAAAACTGAACTTGATCTTTAGTTCCAAAGACAAAAAAAGACCCGATATAATTAAGCCAAGCATGCTGAAGAGGAGTTTCAAGGGGGAATTAGACAAAGCCTTGAAGACTGTCACACCCGACCTTATTGCATCTTCAGAACTTTCTTGCAAACTTCCTGGAACCTGCATCAGAGAGTCCAAGATCTCTGATGCCAAGAAGACAAATAGTTCTGTTAAGAGTATTCTCAAGGGCACTCTTAAGAAATTTACATCATCTGATGATCCAAAGAAAGGGTCAAAAGAAAAAGGCGAAGCAAAATCAGAGGAAGAGAAAGGAATTTTTCAAGGAGTTGAGGAATTCTGTGCACCAAGAAGTAGGCATAGTGACAAAAATGATCTTGATTATTCTGACAGCAGTATTAGGACAAAAGAGGAACTTCACAAGATTCAGGAGAGAACATCTGCGGTGTCAGAGAAAAATAGTCTTGCCTCCCCTAGGCCTACAACTTCTGCTCCTCCCTGCGAAAATGAAGAAAAAGATAAAGATCAAGGGAATACACAGCAAAATGAAGAGGATGGAACTGAAAATCACAGAGATAAAGAGATGGAAAAAGATAGCAAAAGCAATGTAAAGGATGCTTTAGATAACTTCAGAGAATTCATCAACACCAAATTTGCCAAAAAGCGAAAATCAGAATGCACAGAAAAGTCCCTGCAGATGTTGCAAAGCCCAAGCAAAAAGCCTCGAATCATTGACTTGTCAGAAAGCCCAAAAGGAAACCTCTTGAATACACCACAAACTTCATGCTATTCAAACATATTTAGAAATATAAAACATAAGTACAAAAAATCCCTTCATTCAAGGCAATTCCCAGAAATTGCAACCACAGATCAGGTAAGAAGAGACACATCTCAAAACATAATTGGTGATGCCAGTATACGATCCAGTAATCCTGAATTAGTGGAATTATCTACCAGTTCTGAAACTGCTTATTCTAACATTTTGAGAGAAGCAGGGCAAGATGATTTTCCAGTTAAAAGTATGCAGTGTATTGAAGATGCAATTCAAGATATTACAACTGAATCAAATGACCTATTTCTTCATGGAAACAAGCCACTAGACCTATCCTATCATGGAAATGAACCATTAGATCCACCCTGTTGTGAATCTGAGTTATTGAACTTAACCATTCATGAAACTAAGTCTGTAAGAGAAACTGAAGCTGGTGTAATAGAGGGAGATGATTCATTGGCAGAAACCGTATCATGGAAAGGTGTAGCAGACCCAGAGACCACTGTTCACAAGACACCCTGCAGTGAGAAAGGGAAACAGTACATTCTTGAAATGTTCCTTCACTCGGTGCCAGATGGGACAGGTGCCAGGCACCAGATATCAGATGAATCGTTAATTGCTACACAAGAGCTTTCTCAAATCCAAAATTTGGCAAGCAATGAAAGTGTAAAGAACCAAAAGGTATTTGGTGACCAGAATATTCTCCAAAATAACACTGCTTTGATTGATAAGGAATTAATACAAAAGGATTCTACGTTTGTGTATCATAAAGATTACTTTTGTCCAGAGGCAGCAAATGTTTGGCCTTATCAAATTCAATATCCAGTGCTTTCAGATCAAATTCAAAGTCCTGCTAAGCTTGCTAATGATGATCACTTTTCATCTTGTATTAAAGACTCTATATCAAGTCAAACTGGTATCCCTAACCAAGACTTTAGTCCAGGTCACAGACATTTAGACCAACCAGTAGATCAATCACCATCTGGTCAGCTGTATATAGATGATCAACACTTTACTCCGTATCAGAATAATGACCATGCAGCAGTGGACCTTAGAATATTACTTTCAGGAAAACTACCAGTGTCTGGTGAATATTTTACCACAGATCAGATGATAGACAGTGTTAAATCTCCAGACAGCAAGGAGTATCCCATAGCAAAACAGTTCCCAAGTCCTGAACACAGCTTTTCAGATGCAGCAGCACATTCCTCCCCAAGGATGGTTTTAGTTGATGTTATTAAGGATGAGTTAAAGAATAAGGCTCCAATAATTCATCCCTTACCAGGTTTACCTCCTTTAACTCGGTTGTCTGATTTGGTCCCTCCTCTAATGAAGCGGAAACCCATTCAAGATCCTTCAGTGTTGGGCCTAGGAGCAGAATCTAAATCTTGTTCATCTTCCAACTGGTTAGCAGCTGTTCCTGGTAATTCTAGGTCATCTGTGATTGGAGAAAGTCCTAGTCCTAGAAGAGAAGTCAGCTGTAGTGGATTGAAATCAAGTGAGATCATTAATATCTTTAACCAGAAGGACCATTCAGAACCAGAGAGTTTCCAAGCTAGTGCATCCCAAGAAGAATGCCTTGCTTCCTGCAGTTTGGAAACAATAGAGCTGAATAATTTTAATACATCTCTGAAGAATCTCTCCACAGCTGTTGCTGACGAAAATCATGCATTGAAAATTAGGTCAGGTTTAGACAGATTGCCAGATGCACCGATGAAGGAACAGTGTCTCCTAAAAAACAGTTTTGCATCTTCAAATTTGAATAAGTCATCTGTTTCACATGATGTATATAGTCAGAGTAACAGTTCAATCTTTGAAACATGTAATTCATTTGTAAATGCAAAAAGTACTTGTAGAGAACCACTGGTACTACAGCAGCTTAAAAGGAAAATTAATCTTTGGCAAGATAGTCTAAATTCAAAATCAAATATAACCTTGAATAAAGGCATTGCAGCTCTGGCAGAATTCATAAAAAAGCCAACACCCATTCCTTCTGAAGTAAGAAAAGAAACAGTTTTTCCAGAAGATGAAGTAGGGAAGTCAAGCCTTCGTATGAAGAAGGTATTGCTCAACAACCTGTTAAATCCTAGTGAAAAAAATCTGCAGCTGGATAAACCGTTTTCAAAGAAAGTTGTTGCAGTGGAATGTAAAGAAAAGTGTTGTGATAATACAAAAGCTTGCCTTCCCAAACCACTTTCACAGGATAAGTACCCTTTCCTAGATAGTGTAAAGGACTTCAGAGAAGAAATCCCAGAACAAAGAAAATTGATAGAAAACAAGAAGGTTCTTCTTAATCTTCTTAAACCGTCTGAACTCATTTGGGATGATGCTGTGACAGACATTTCAAAATCAACTTTTCAGTCCTCAAAGTACATACATTTGTTGGATGCAAGTGAAAGTGATGTGTTAAAGATAAAGGTAAGTAGTTGCTTTTTATAGTGTGAATAGTAAAAGGATTCTAAATGAAAGATTGTTTCACAATTTGTAAGAAAGAATCTGAAAGAATCTAAAACTATCCATATGAGTGTATCTCTATCTCTCTTCTCCATAATTTTTTTCTCTCTCTCTCTTTCAGTTTCTTTGTCGAGCACATCAGTTGACCTATGCCACCTTAGATGAACTTATAAGAAATGGAGGTTACATGCTTATCCAGCACAGTTTTGTAGATAAGTTGTTATCATCTCCACACCTGATAGTTTGGTGTGCTCAGCCAAATATCAAGTAAGTATGGGGAAAAAATGAGGGAAAGAGTTTATTTTTGAACAGTAAGAAGTGCATATAACTATAGATAATCCCCCAATCCCATGCCCATTGTTATCGTAGGGGGTGTATAGGAGATGGGGAGGCCCAGTGCTTGAGATTGCTTCTACCTCGGGCCTCACCCTCGGATCAACCAGTTTTGCATGGTATTTTTTCTCTTTTTCAAGAAGCATGTTGATTTTTCATGGTTTTTCTCTTGCTACCTATTTCAATGCTGTCCTTCACTTCAATATTCTCCCTTCTTCTTAAGATGTCTCAGAATTTCCCCCAGAATTTTATCCCCCTACTCTACCATTCTACCAGTACCCCCTTCTCTCTCTCGGTCAAATTTTATTGCCATGCTAAATCCAGATAATCTAGTCTCTCCCATTTCACATTGCATACCCCTCCTTTTTCTCACTTTACTTGTCACACCAGGCAATCTAATCTTTCCACCCCATCTTCCCCTACCACATTTTCTTGTACACTCACCTCTTCCTCTGCTCCTTGGACTCCTTCAACTCCTTCTCTGCCTCCTAAGAAAATCTATATTTCTCAGACCTCTTCACCCAACTCTCCTCTTGATGACATCCAAAACTTCCTAGACATGACGCAGGAGAACAATGCTCTCTTATCCACCCTCCAATCTCTCTACTCCTATTTCCTCTACATTCAAAGTAACTACTGACATCCATCCTCCTGCTCCTCATGTTCCCCATGTTCCCCTACCTCTCATGCTCCCACTCTCTCCCAACACACTATATCTTCTCCTCCCTCTGCACCATCCCCCCTTCTTTCCCCATTATCCTGTCTGCTTCTTCCTAGGTGCTCACATGATTCCACTCTGTCATACCAGTGTCCTTCTCTGGATCCTTCCCTTTCTGACGTTCATACTGATACTTCACTCTCTTCCCCTGTTCCCTTGTCTTATTACCCAGGTTCTCCTCCTCCTTCTCAAACCCCTATTTCTATCCATATTACTTGTCAGTTGCTTCATAATGGATCCTTTCTTTCTCATGCAGCGTTCTGCTTCCTTCCTCAGATGCTAATATACTCTCTATTCAGTCTAATAGCCCTTTGCCCTGAACCCCCTTCCCCCATTAACTAATCCCTACCTTACTCTATGTGCTCCCCTCACTACCCTTTTTGCTACCATACTATGATATGGCACTCTATGACCTTCAACATGTAACTCATTTTGTCCTAATCTTAAACTTATTTTTACCCCCTTCACTACAATACTTTACCATAGTGCTATACGACCTTAGATTTGTAGCGCATTTATTTGTTTTAATGATTAACCATGACCATGTATAGTCAAAGTTATCCATTCATGTGCTACTTTATAATATTTTGGTCACATCAAATTATTCTGGCTATTTGAATTTAAAGTAACCCAAATCTAACTTCCATCATTTGTGAACCACCATTTAGTTCCAGAGTTTAATTTAAAGTTTGGCACAGACTTGTGACATCAGTGAAATTGCAGCCCTCTGCTTATGGTGTTTTTATGTTAACCTTTGTGAAAGAGTAGCTGAGATTTTAATTTGAGCCAGCAAGAATACCTTCTGAGAACTCTACCACCGCATCTTGGAGACCTTTAATCCAATGCTTCTGAAGAATTTAGGGTGCACTTGGCCTTCAGACAGCTGGAGTGTCGCACATGAAACACTGTTTCCAAACCATGATTTTAATGTTGCATATGCAGAAATGCATGATATTCATTTTTGTTACTAGATCAAACCTGTAGGTGCCTGATTATGTACATTAGAGTTCATATCAATAAATTTGGTGTGTTACACTGTTTGGAAATAATGGAAAATGGTTTTATAGAGAAATAAAAGCAAAATTTTCTTCAGTATTTGCAAATCTTATTATGGAAAAGAGATTCTATGGAGTTTTATACAAGGCTGCTACTCCCATGGCTTCATGCTTCACTATTGTATTTCATACTCCAGGACAGTCACATTGGCAATGCTTCCTATGACAATATGAATTGTTTATAGAAGGAAACTTGTCATGTAAACCAAAGTAAAAGTTATTTACAGCAAGAGTATTTTTTTTTTTTTGCATGACATGTTTCAAGAATAGGAGGCAAATGATTTATGTGCTAGATATTGCCATTATTATACAATTAGCCAGTCAGAGCATTACATGTCCTTTTCTCCCTTAGGCAGTGCCCTAGGGCATGAGATGTGTAAGCATGATGGTTCCTTATAAGAAATTGAATATGTAATGCATGCATCATAGTAACATGTAAATGATCTGTCCTCCAAAACCACAAGCAAGTTAGCCATAACAGGAAGAGCATGTCGCCTGGAGTCACAAGGTAGTCAGCCTTGACTTGAACTAAATGTCATCTGGAGGCACTGGTCAATCAGTCAGTATAGGCTAATACTGAAGAGGTTACCTGTCCCTCATTACTGGCAGCAATGAGGGACTTCCTTTGGTAGTACTGGTGGTTAGACAGTAAGTGAAGAGAGCTCAGCACTGACTCGCCCATCACACAGCTATGGTAGATCTGTTACCGCTAGAATCAGTACAAGTACACATACTCTCCACCCAGTGGCAGAAAGAAATTATTTGTCTTTTTGCTGCAGGCTACTGTGGGTAAAGAGGGGGAAATGTGATAAGGACTAGGAGTTAGGGTATGGATTTCCTTGGCTTTGGTGTCATATCTCAGGACCAGAGGGAGTGAGAGTGAAAGAGAAAGAAGAGTGAGAGAAGGTGACTGTGTAGTATTTATCAATAAACAAAAGGGAATTATTATAAAAGTGGATGATTATTATGTACAATGTAGAAATACATTGTCTGCTATTGTGAAACAGGGAATTAGTAGCAAGATTCTTGAACCACAATAAGCAGAAAAGGTTTTCATTGTGTTTTATATACTACCTACCTCTTTGCATGTTTATGGACTTTCTGTCGCCTTTGTCTCACAGGTTTGGTGTTTATACATCTCTGTCATCACTATCAAAAAATAATGTTTGTCCAGTGATGACTTCCAAATGGTTGCTGCTCCTCCATCACACAGCTATGGTGGATCCATTGCTTGGTTTGTGTCTATTGTTTTTTCTACTGGTATTTTTTCATTATATAATATCTATATACATATTTATTTTTCTATCTATTTATGTATAATTATTTGTTTATTTAATTTCACTGCAAAGGACTGCATTTATGAAAGCTCTGATGTTTGAATAACTTGATTTTACACATCACAAAATGTTTGCTGTTTGCTGGTATGTTAAATAGTTACTGAACAGCAACCTCAAAGTTGAAAAAATCTACCCTACACATTTTAGGAAAATAGGGAAAACAAACAATATGTAACTGCAACTCGCATGTATGATGATTTGTAAACCGGTAAACGTTAATTTATATGTATAATTGAAAGAAAACAAGAATACTAAAATAGTGGGAGAATATTAAACATATATATATATATATATATATATATGAAAAGAAAAGAAGAATACTAAAATAGTGGGAGAGTACCTCAGCCAGGAATTAACTATATATGGTAAGAGGACGAGATCCAAGGGGATTATGGATTGCCCAAATGCACCAGACAGGTCCAGTAGAGAGTTGGGGGAAAGGAGATACAAGTTCTTGGTGGTCATGAGGCTAAAATAGGTGTCAGATGATACTAGATTTACTAGTTTGTAATCATTACATCCTATTCATAGTGAGAGAGAGAGAGAAAAAAATGCCAAATTTTGAAAGTTGATATGCTGTCACGTAGCTCACTTGGAAGTTGTCATTTAAATATTTACCGAGTCGAGGTAACTCAGTCTTTAGGTGCGAATATAGGTAATAATTTTATGATTATAAGTTTAATTATTTACATATATGCAGATAGGTAGATAGAATATATAGGACTGTATGTGGAAGATTTGTATTTGAATATAAGCAATGTAATGGACAATGTTCAACAGTTTATATATTCCAGTGACAGTATTGGAGCAAGAACTGAAAGACTTGAACAGGAGTACTTCTGATCACCCCCATATTGTCATTCCTATCCTTACCCTTAAGATTTGCTATTGCAGGTTTGTACTCGTTCATTGTTTAGCAAAAAAGTACTTATAGTATGTGTTTTGTGATACTTTTTCATGTTGCAAAGAAATATAGATAGAAAAAAACAATTTTTGCAGTCCAGTGGATTTTTTTCTCTCTCTCTCATTTATTTCAGCCTTTTGAATAGTGCAAGAGCAGATGCAGTGGAACGTTCAGCATGCAAAATTCTTCAGAAGAATCTTGTTCTCCTCACCAAGTAAGGACAATTGTGTTTTCCAAACAGGTTGCAAATTATTAGTCCATGATTTTACCCATCCAGAATTGCAGCAGGTAGCCATCTTTCTAACCCACTTACGATAGGTGTCGCATAAGTGACACCCGGAAAAATAAACATTGCTGGGTGTCCCGATGATGTGACGCTGGATCTGAGGCTGCGTTCCAATTCTGTCGCTGGCTGCAATCGGCGTGCAGGCAGATTCCGGGCTAACCCCACACACCAATTTTGAAGCCACCCGGAAACCATTATTTTTGTCTTCAAATTATACCGTCGCTAAGGGGTTAAAGATAATCTTTTCCTCTAATACCTCCATTGGGTGCCGCAGACTAAAGCATGCGAGTCTGTGACACACAGAGGCATACAGTGCTTGCTCTTCATTTTACACAGGGATTGAGATTCATGTGTTAGATTTAACCAACAACCTTATTAGAAAATGTCGACTAGCTTACCTACAGGTCGCTATAAATTTTGCTTTCAACTTGCAAGTCACCATTTTCATTTTTGCTCATAAATTTCTCATGTCTTGGCTTTACTATTATTGTGCCAATTTGAGGCAGTTATTAGCTTATACAACACAAAGCCTAGGTTTTCCCGAATTCTGGTCTTTCATGTATTGCTGATTTCATGTAATATATTTGTCAAGATCAAAGAAAGGTCTGGTTTATATTCTATATAGATATTTACACCTCTACAACTTTGAGTGAGAAATATGTACTTTCAGCCATATTTTTGTAGGTTATAGTGAAGAATGATCTGGAACAGTTAGCAAAGTAGTCAGTATCATTGGTTCATGAACACTAGTGTAATAATCGTTGCAGATAGGAGTGGTATGTACAGTTGGAAAAATAACTTGGTACCCCTTACTCTTACTAATATAAATAATTGACAAAGTGTTATAGAATAGCAAGCCAAGCCAGCTAGCACCATAATCCTACGAACATACAGTAACATTATTATCTATGTGCTGAAGTCATTAAAAATTAATGAAATGTAAGTTTGTTTGTTTGCATGAAAAAAAAGATATATATATATTGAGTGGTAACACATGCGTAGTCCAAAT